TCGTGTCCCTTACAACCGGTCATGATTATTAGTTGGATGTCGGTTCCTTTGCTAAAGAATAAATATTAAGAAATTAAATGTTGTTAATCCAAACTTTAATCAAAATTGTATAGTAGGAACTTCCCAAAAAAGAAAGAGCAAATAGGGTATAGCTAAATAAAGTTAATCAATGATTCAATTCATGGACATAATAATTAATTGTCGTGAACTCGTACGTAGAAATGGAATTTTGGACCTATTGGTGGAATTCCACGTCATAATTACATAATGCTTTTGTCCCTTATTGTCCTCGTGGGGCATTATTCTCACTCATTGTACCATACCCTACCCTCTTCATAACTAGGGGTGTGCACGGGTCGGTTCGGTTCGGTTTTAGCCAAAAACCGAATCGAACCGAATATATCGGTTTTTGTAAAATAAAAAACCGTGTATGTCGATTTTTTATTGGTTCGGTTTCTTTCGGTTTCGGTTCGGTTTCGGTTTCGGTTATTTTTTGGTTCAAGCGTAACTATATATTCAAGTTGTACAAACAAAATAATACAATTACAATTACTTTCACAACTTACTAATGCAATGAAAATATAAAATCTTTAATTTCATAGGACTTAACATAATTTATAGATGATGTATTATGCTTCATTTTTTTCTCTACTTTTATCTACCACATTATTAAAACCATGAACTCAAGTAAATTTTTAATTACTAAATAAATAAAATACAATATCTCAATTTATGAACAAATGCTTAGAATGAGACAAGTAGTTGAAAGATAGAAAATAAATATTAGGGTAAAATAATATATATATTATATAAAATGAAGTCATTTTATAGTTTCGGTTGGGTTCGGTTATTTACCTTTCCACCATACCGAACCGAATAATTCGGTATTTCAAAAATAAAAAACCGTACATGCGGTTTGCTATTCGGTACGATTTAAAACGGCTCGGTTTTTCGGTTTTTCGGTTCGGTTTTTCGGTTTTTCAGTTTTTATGCTCACCCCTATTCATAACTTAATTATGGGTAAATTACAATCACCCCTGAGGTATGGTTAAATTACAAAAAAAATCCCTCTTGTCTGGATAATAACAACCACCCCTCAACTATAAATCTTTTTACATGTCCACCCTTGCGGTTTCAAATTTAGTGAAATTTTCGAGATTGTATGGATTATTATCACTTTTGTACCCGTTTTATCCTATCCGAACTCTACAATTTGAAGCAAGATGATCATAATATGTGTTTTAAACTTGTATATATCAGATTGTGGTGCATCAGAAACTGTAAGTTTACACAAAATGAGTACAAACTAAAGCACATTTCACGAAATCTAGATGATTATGTTGAATTTGAAACTATATGGATGAAAGTGTAAGAAAAAATCATAGCTATGGGGGGTAGATGTAATTATCCAAACAAAAGGGGTTTTTTCGTAAATTGACCATACCTCAGGGGAATGGTTGTTGTAATTTACCCCTTAATCATAATATATTTAGGCATGGCAATTTGCCCCCCCTCGCTTCAACCTGAAATTCTTGGGTATTATCTGGCTCGAAAAAATATGTGGCGAGAATGAGAATTAACAAAAGAAGTTCGACCGCGGATGAGGATGGGGATGGTGACGGAGACGAGTGTATATGTACATGCCACGTAGACTCGACCGCGTATATTATTTATATATATTTATTAATTATTATGTTAAAATGTGATGCATATGTTTAATTTATGAAATTTTTGTATTAGATTTGAAATTAAATTTGCACTTTGTTGATTTGTTTGTTGAAATAAGTCTTTAAATTATTAGTATATTACATTTTTATTAAAAAACAAAAAGAAAAAAAAAAAGAAAAACAAATTGGGGTTTTTGCAGGGCGAGTACCTGAGGGGATTTTACGTGGCGGGTTCAGGGATATTAATTCATAGAAATCGGGAATTTTGACGTATACGGGGAGGGAATTCTAGAGACGGCACAGGGACGAGGATTGCAAAACCCGAGTACCTGAGGGGATTTTACGTGGCGGGTTCAGGGATACTAATTCATAGAAATCGGGAATTTTGACGTATACGGAGAGGGAATTCTAGAGACGGCACAGGGACGAGGATTGCAAAACCCGCCACGTTGCCATCTCTAAATATATTTATAGTACAATACATTTAAGTATCTGAAATGTTATTTGTTGTTTCATTTTTACGAATGTCGTTCCAGTTTTATATGTTATTTTGACCATTTTCTAATATGACTTTGCAAAATTCCAATTTTTATATTCTTTCATCTATATATATATATATATATATATAAAAAAAATTCGAGTTTTGAGTTTCTGATTTCGGATTTTAGACTAAAAAATATAAATGCACACTTAGGCCCAACGATAAGAGCAAAAGTGTTAATACAATAAATACAACACCACCAACAAACGGGCCTTCTCCGGCCCAATACTCCACGTAGCGGCGGAGACGGAAACCCTAGATTCAACGATAATATCCTGCGGCTGAAAATCAAAGTCTCAATTGATCTCAGCCGTTCACTCTCCGACTAATCTTATATAAACAAGGACAACGAACACCCATCGGTATACAATTCTAGGGTTTAGAAGCAAGTGCCAATTTCCGTTGCGGCTCTCAGGTAGTATACTCAAATTACATCTGCCGAGTTGATACGAAAATGTCATGTACAGATCTGTATATTGTGTTTTCATCGTATTCATTTCTGATTGGTTCTAATTTTTCAGTATTATGTTGAATTAATTCAATTTTAACTAATCTGCTGATATTTGATTTGAAGTACAGTCTTTGTTCATTTTTTTAATAGATTTTTCTGTGTTTTTTTCATCGTATTCGTTTCGGTTTGGTTCTTATTTTTTTTTCAGAATTATGTTGAAATAAATGAATTTTGACTGATTTGCTGATATTTGATGTGAATTACAGATTGTTAATGTTTTTTTTTTTAGATTTTTCTGTGTTTTTGGATTAAAATAAAAAAATAAAAATGGTTTTTTTTTTTTTTTTTGTAATTTTTGTGTATGTCTTGTTCTGGTTTAAATGCTGTTGATCACCTCCATTTTCTTTGCGATGATTGAAATGCACTCCCTCGAATAATCTTAATAAAAATTTAATCAAGGCTGGAGTCTCGAAACAGCTCTTTCTGCAAATGCCCTAGATTTTCGGGGTGTTTCGAATGGAAAACTAATGAGCTAGAGATTTGGTTTGGTAAATCATTCCATAGGCCTTTGGTTTTGGGAACATTTCATTTCGTTCGCATTGAATTTGGCGGTGATCCGTGTTTTCTCTGGTCGTGGCATTCGATGTTTTGGACTTTTGTTTTCGAGATCGAAAAACCTTTTCTTTTTAATTGTGATGTAAAGAGTGTATAGAGTTTTGTATATATACGCATATACATAAATACACTGTGATCCAGTTTTTGCTATTCGTGGCATTTGATTTTTTTAACTTGTGTTTTCGAGATTGAAGAAACTATTATTTTAATTGTGCTTTTGATTAGCTGTTATATGTAAAGAGTTTCAAGAGTTGTATGTATATGTGTTTGTATATATACATACATAGTTTATCACAAAACTCAATTTATGAAATGATGTATTAAGTTGAATCGTTGAAATGGTTACATGTTTTTTTTATTATTGTTATATAAATATGTATTGAAATTTAATGATTTTGCAGAGTTAACTGTATTTGAGTAAGAATGTCTCATCGTAAGTTTGAGCACCCGAGGCACGGTTCTTTGGGGTTTCTTCCTCGGAAAAGGGCTGCTCGTCATAGAGGAAAAGGTCTGTTTTTTTGTTTGTTGTTAATGTTAGGACAAGTTTTACTTGCATCTATTATTTGTCTGATATGCGTAGTCGAATCAAACAGTATACTTCTGTATCTCAATAAAGTTAAACATATACATATATATTTTCTTAAATGCTAAGAAAAATTAGATTACATATTTGAGAACTAGTAGTGATTTCTTTAGTTCAGCTAATAAGCAAGGCATCTACTCTTTCGGATATTAGATTACATATTTGAAATTTGACTTTTTACTCCCTGCGTTTGTACTGATGATCAATTATTTTCGTAGTTGTTGATGATCTTTTTTTTGCCGTTTTCTATTTTGCTTCATCATATTATCAGTGTGTGTGCTTGTCCAAAGCGTTTATCGTGATATTTTGTTCTGTGTTTGATTTATACAGTGAAGGCTTTCCCAAAAGATGATCCCACAAAAGCTTGCAGATTGACTGCTTTCCTCGGATACAAAGCTGGGATGACACATATTGTTCGTGAGGTCGAGAAACCTGGGTCGAGTAAGTTCTCTTTTTTTTTCTTTCCTCTTTGCTGTTTTAATCAATTATGTTTTATATTGGTCTTTACTTTACTGTAATGCTTCTAAGGAAAAGGGATATTATAAGCTACATATTATCTAATTGACTCGTTTCACCTTTGAAAATCGATATGGAGGATGAAAGTGATGAATAGTGATTAAACGGTGATGGTGAATTCCATCTGATCTGCAAATCTTTCACTTCGCTACGTTCTTTCTGATTCGTCCTCCAATAAAAAACTTTTCGAAAAAAACTATTTCTAGAGTTCTGATATTTCTTGAATTTATTTTACGTGTTTGAAAAAAACTATTTCTAGAGTTCTGATATTTCTTGAATTTATTTGAGGGTAATAGTATAGTGTTGCTTACATTGTATATTGAAATGTTTGTGGGTAAGGTTATTTATTTTCTTACCGTTGTCTTGTTCAGAGCTTCACAAGAAAGAGACCTGTGAGGCTGTAACCATAATAGAAACCCCACCAATGATTGTTGTTGGAGTTGTGGGGTACGTCAAAACACCAAGGGGTCTCCGTTGTCTGAACACTGTCTGGGCTCAACATCTCAGCGAAGAAATCAAGAGAAGGTTCTACAAAAACTGGTGCAAGTCGAAAAAGAAGGCCTTCACCAAATACTCTAAGAAGTTCGACACTGAAGAAGGGAAAAAAGACATGCAATCCCAGCTCGAGAAAATGAAGAAATACTGCACCGTGATTCGTGTTTTGGCTCACACACAGGTCTTTTTTCATACCGAAACAAATTAATAGAATATATTGTTCCTCTCTTATTGTACGTCACTTATTCATAATTTCAATTTCAGATTCGTAAGATGAAAGGGCTGAAGCAGAAGAAAGCCCACTTGATGGAGATTCAAGTCAACGGAGGCGACATTTCAAAGAAGGTTGACTTTGCGTGCAGCTTTTTCGAGAAGCAGGTTCCAATCGATGCAGTTTTCCAGAAGGATGAAATGATTGACATTATTGGAGTGACAAAGGGTAAGGGTTACGAGGGTGTGGTGACACGTTGGGGTGTCACACGCCTTCCAAGAAAGACCCACCGTGGGCTCCGCAAAGTTGCGTGTATTGGTGCATGGCATCCTGCTAGGGTTTCGTTCACTGTCGCAAGAGCTGGGCAAAATGGGTACCATCACAGGACTGAGATGAACAAGAAGATTTACAAGCTGGGGAAGACTGGTCAAGAAACTCATAATGCCATGACTGAGTTTGATAGGTCGGTATCGGAAATTGATTTTTTAAGTTAGTAATTTCAAAAAAAATTATTTGTGTTTTCTAATATGGTGATGATTATATATATACAGGACTGAAAAGGATATTACTCCGATGGGAGGGTTCCCGCACTATGGGGTGGTGAAGGACGACTATTTGTTGATCAAGGGATGCTGTGTGGGCCCCAAGAAGCGCGTCGTTACGTTGAGGCAGACTTTGTTGAACCAGACTTCTAGGGTTGCGTTGGAGGATATTAAGCTCAAGTTTATCGATACTTCTTCGAAATTCGGCCATGGTCGCTTCCAGACTATGGATGAGAAGGCCAAGTTTTACGGAAGAGTCAAGGCTTGAAGCAAATATTGTTGTGTTGTGGCATCGGAGATATTTTGTCGATTCAATTTTGTTTTTTATGTTTTCGAAGTTCCGAAATATGAAGATGTTTTTGTTTTCTTGGATAATATTTTACCTTTTTGGTGGGATTGTTATTCTGTATTTTATTGCATATCTGAGATCTTGTTATGCTTACATAATAAGCCTTGTTGATCTGATTTATTTACTTGTAATTTTTTTTTTAAATTTAAATTTCAGTTTATATTAATAAATTTGTGTAAAAACTATAATCAAAGAAGAAGATGACATATTAGGTACCTAAATGCCAAGTTTCATTTGAAAAATTAAATCTTTCATCATAATTAAGGAAAAAGATGTATCTATTATTAATATAGAAACTATTTAATAAATTTTTTTTTATTAGAGATCCTAGTTGAAATTTGAAAACATTGAGTATTTGAGTAAAAAACTCATGTTTATTCAATTCAAATAAAACTGTAAATTCAAATGTACAGTTAAGTATAATAAATCAAAATTTAAATTTTTAAAAATATGTATCTTTATAAAAAAAGAAAAGAAAATAGAGGTTTCTTTTGTAGGGGTTATTTTGTATTAAAGACAATTTTGGTAAAACCACCTAAAATTCAGCCCCCGCCAAAATTCATATCGTTTACTGTACCGACATGTATGGTTCGGATCGGTAAATTGTGAATTATCGAAATTTTATTAAATATATTTTAAAAATTAATTAAATTTTGAATGTTGAATTTTGAATTACTTTTATAATTTTAGTATAAAAAAATAATAAATTATAGTATAAATGTTAATATTACATATATAAAATAATAAGTAAAAATATATAAAAATAATTAATTGAGGCCGAATGATCGGGTTTTGGAAAAAAGAAGACCAAATACTTAACCGAATTACCGGTTCGATATACAGTAGGTATTAAACAGCCCTTGTCACACCATTCGTGTAGGTTCCTGCTTATGAGCTAAGAAATTTCACTACCTTACGACAATTAAAGTTACTTTCGTCGTTTACAAGGATTTCCATTAGAAACAACTGATACGCCTCCTTGCGACCTTTCATTATCGGACAAATGTCAGAGTTTATACATCGTATAACCACTTAGTAGAGTCTTGTGTTTTAGTAAACAACTGCTACTCTTGGTATGTACCGCTTTTCTAATCAGAAAATAGAAGAGCACCCCTTGTCCCGAAGTTGTGGCCTCGTTTTAGTTCTCTCAAGTGCCCTAATATAATCTAGGTGTTCAAATTTGTGTGTTTAGGGTACGGTTCGTTCACCGGTAAGAGATCCAAAAGAATTAACAAAAAACAAAAAGGAAAGGCTAGAGAAACTGAAAGGAGAATGAGAAAACTAATCGCAAGTAGTCTCAAACGATTTTGGGCTTTTCTGCACGTAAGAAAACCTACGTCTTGTAGTAATAATATAGTCAGTAGTCAAATAAGTTAAGTGTGGACCAACCATCGTTAAAAGAGTTGTTATCTATCCTCTACTATTACAGTTGAGGTCTAGAATTCAAATATTGTCCCTCACATAATTTTTAATAATAAGAAGAAAAATATTAACTATTGAGTTTTGGGGTAAGTATTATACATGATATAATACAAGGGTAAATTACGGCCACATCTGAGGTATAGTTAAATTATGAAAAAAATCCTCTTGTTTGAATAATTATAATCACATGCCTCAACTATGAATCTTCTTACATGTTCATCCTTGTGGTGTCAAATTTAACAGAACCTTCTTAATTATATGGAATATTTTCCAGTCTGTACTCGTTTTGTGCAAAAATGCAGTTTCTGATGCAACACAATCTGATATTTACAAGTCAAGAAACACATCTTATGATCATCTTATTTCAATACGTGGAGTTCGAATGGGTTAAAACTGATACAAACTGAAGAATATACCACATAATCTAGAAGATTCCCCTAAATTTGACACCACAAGGTTGACACGTAAGAAGATTCATAATTAGGGATGGTTATAATTACCCAAACAAGGGGTTTTTTTTCGTAATTTAACATACCTCAGGGTGGCCGTAATTTACCCTATAAATACAAGAAAAATTAAATATACAGTTCAAATTCACCCAATGTAAATAATCAAGTATAATTATATTAAAAAAAAAAAAAAGGTGTAACATCTAACTCCCCATAAATACGAAGGTGCAAAAAGTATTTTACATAATTTTATATAAAAAAATGTCTATCGAAAATAAATTATGGGAGTGTAAATAGTAAAATAGTGCGGCGTAAAAAATTCTACCTTTTAAAAAAAACTAAATTTATTAAACTAATTAAAAAATGGGCTTGCATATATCCTTTGCCATTTATTAATTTAACTCCGCGAAGTATAAACAAGAACAAACTTCACACTTCCATTTTTCCAGTCGTCAAGCCTTCGCCTTCAATCTACTCCTCTTCCCTCCGTCGCTCTATTAGCTACAGATCTGGTGAATTATCAGGTTATTAATTTTTTTTTTTTAATTTTCATATTGTCGAGATTTTGGGTTTTCCTTGATCCGTTCAATTCGAAAAATCACGACGATTTCAATCATGCGTTTTATCGTTTGCATTCCAATCCCGCGTGGTTTTTGATGTTTTTACGACGTCGTATTTTGTAGAAATCTGTAATCTGTGCAGTTGCGATGCAATAAGGGCCAATTTCTGCATTTTTTTTAAAAATTTAAACCCTATTTTAATGATTCAGATCTCGATCTTCTTCTTTCGATCATATAAAGTATAAATTACCGAACTCAATTTTGTGTTGTGTGGCATTTCAGGAGTTGTTGGGAATCATTAATTTTGCTTAATCAGTGACTGTTTGGTTGAATTTGAGAGCAACAAGATGGTAATATTTCTTTTACCCTTTTGTTTCTTCACTTAATTTTTTGACATTTTCTCTGTCTTTATTTTGCTTTTTGACCATTGTATTTGTAACCGGTGCTGCAGGTTGTACTCGCGGCTTCGATTATAAGCAAATCTGGCAAAGGTAAGCACCTACTGTTGACTTCTTATAAGTAACGTACCTAGATGTGGTGGATTTTGAGTTTGGTTGCTTATTTATGTTAGGTAGGGGATACAGTTGGTTTTACATTTTTGCCTGTTCTTTGTAATGAGGTGGAAAAATGATCAAAAGTAACGCAATAGAATATCTGAATGAAGTTGGCATTTGAGCACGACGTAAAAACTAGTTGGTTGTTAAAAGCAGGAAATTCCCCTGTTATGATATGAAGATTGATTTGAATGAACTTCTAAAAGCCTTTCATGTGACTTCTAATTTAGTGTCCATTGTCGGGAGACGTGTCACTTTGAAGAGTGAACAAATTGCTCAACCTGATATTGGTTTCAACAGTATAGTGTTCGCCGTGGAAATCTCTCCTTTTTTTTTTTGATTTTTTCTATTTGCAATTTCACGACTGATTTATTGCATAAGGTAATGCATGATATGACTTATCAGCATAAAATTTGGTCTCACAACAGAACTTCGCACCAAGTAATGATGGATGATATTAATTGTCTCTTTACTTTCTCAGCGATTGAGATAGATTGCTACTGGAGGTTTTGAAATTATTATTTATTGAACCTTAATAAATGTTATTATTTATATATTTGGGTTTTCTTTTTGGCTAGGTAAATTTGTTTCTAAACCTCAGTGATTGAATATGGGGTTAGAGGACAAATTTGTCATTAACTTTACTTGTTCCGTATTTTATTGTGCTACTATTACTTTCTTAGCTTTGGTTATTTTCTCCGCTTTGAGGATTTTGCTAAACTAATGACCTTTTCCTCTAAAACTTTGACAAAAAAAAAAGCAGTTCACTTTTCATGATTTCTCTTCCACATTGTTGTAAAAATGCTGCAGTTGTTAGTAGATTTGTCCATTTAAATATGATTTTCTTTGCTGTGACCATGTTTTCTGCATTCTGTTAGCTGGACAAGTTAAATGACCACGTTTACTATATGATTTTTTTTATCTTCTGCAGCACTTGTTTCAAGGCAGTTTGTTGATATGTCTCGTATAAGGATTGAGGGATACCTTGCAGCTTTTCCTAAATTGGTTGGAATAGGCAAACAGCATACTTACGTCGAGACTGAAAATGTTCGTTATGTTTATCAGCCAATTGAGACTCTATACTTGCTTCTTATTACAACTAAACAGAGCAACATTCTTGAAGATTTGGAGACACTGAGGCTACTCTCAAAGCTCGTATCCTTTTTCTATTTGACAAATTTGTTTTTCCCTTTCTTATATGCCTTCTGAGAAGCTGTGCTTTTTCACCTTTGGGTGTGCGTGCTTTCACCATCAGTGTTTTGCGTATTTAGTTATATGCTTAGAGCAGAAAATGTATATGCTTTTTTCTTTACTAAGACTTTGCTTCTACCATCCATGGGACTCATTGTGGAATTTTTATGTTTTTATCAAATGTGGTATTGTTTCCCTAACTGTACCTAGGTGCCTGAATACTCTTATTCCCTAGACGAAGAGGGCATTGGCAGAATGGCATTTGAGATTCTTTTTGCATTTGATGAAGTTATTTCACTTGGGCAAAAAGAAAATCTCACTGTCGCACAAGTTAAACAGTACTGTGAGATGGAAAGTCACGAAGAGAGATTGCACAAGTTGGTCTTACAAAGTAAGATCAATGAAACCAAGGATGTCATGAAGCGCAAGGCTAATGAAATTGACAAAAGCAGGGTAAATTGATTGATGCACAACCAATGATTTTTACCTTCTATTTCATTTTATAGGGTCATGGATAAACTGATTTTGTGTAAAATTTGTCTAGATCGAGAAGAATAGGGGTGAGAAAGGAGGATTTATGTCTCTGCAATCGATGGGTTCTGGAAGAATTGATACTGGGTTTGGCAGTGATTCCAGCATATCTAGTAATACTGGTGGTTTTGGAAGTGGTACAGGCTTTGGACTGAACACTGAAGCGGATTCTTTCTCCACTAAGCCAAAAGGTTTGTGTTTTATACTTTCACCTGATAAAATTGAAAGGTAGTTAATAGTCTACACTAATTTCTCAAAAATTGCTATGCATGAAGTTCTTTCTTGATGATAGATATCATATTGAAAAATTATGCAGTATCTGAGTATTTAAATCCGTTCAAGAGCATGTATCTCTTATTCTTTTACTTTTTGCTGAGGGGATTGTTTAATATTTTTGTATTGGCCTTCTCCTGGTCCATAAAGTTATAGAACAATGAAAATTCACCCTACTACCGGACTACACATTGTCTCATCAGTTTAGAGAAAGATCACAGCTTCTATTATTGTGAATGTGTGGGAGGATCTTATTAGTTTTGAGTATGTTGCATCATTATAAGACATCATCTAGCCATACTTACCATTTAAGCGTACTTATGAGAGTGTAATATTCACCGCATCGTCCGGCCGAAGTGTATAGAGGGTAGAGTACTTTTGGTTGTACATTTTTGGGTTTGTCTTTTATAATAACTGTTAATGTGGAAGTCATTGTGTCAAAGGATCCAAATTATAATTGTTGCTCATTATTTTCTTTTTGGCATTGGATTTGATTGAGATGCTACATGAGTGAATGATACATTAGAAATAGCACGTGACTATTTCCTGACATGTTGCTTTCTGAATTTCTATGAACAGGTCGTCCACAAGCATCTGCTTCAGCTCCACCCAAGGGTCTTGGTATGCAGCTAGGGAAAAACCAGAAGACCAACCAATTTTTGGAATCTCTCAAAGCTGAAGGCGAAGTTATTGTTGAAGATGTGAGACCAAGTGTCGGTCAGTCCAAACCAGCTGCAGCACTACCAAGTGATCCAGTTACCTTAACTGTTGAAGAAAAGCTTAACATAACTCTAAAACAGGATGGTGGTATTGGGAACTTTGATTTGCAGGGTACCTTGGCACTCCATATACTTAGCCACAGTGACGGGCTTATCCAAGTTCAGGTTCTCTAGATTCCTTCAATGGCTCTGCTCCTTTGTCCTTTTGAACTGCTTCTAAAAGTGTTGAAAAGTAGTCTCGATTTTATGTTCATGTTCTGGTAAAAATCTATCTGATGTCGTCTGTGATATTTTTCAGATTGAAACTGGTGGTAATCCAGGAATTCAATATAGAACGCACCCCAACATGAACAAGGAATTGTTTTCTGGTGAGAATATTTTGGGCCTCAAGGATCCGAATCGGCCATTTCCGATTGGTGCGGCAGGTGATGGTGTTAGTCTCTTGAAGTGGAGAATGCAAAGTGCAGATGAGTCGCTTGTGCCATTATCAAGTGAGCTTTGATCATATCATACGCACAATCACATGTATGTACAGCAAACACTTAATGTGATTTGATTCACATACTTCTTTTTTGTTGTAGTTAACTGCTGGCCTTCTGTTTCGGGGAATGAGACGTATGTGAACATGGAATATGAATCTTCACCAATGTTTGATCTGCAAAATGTTGTGATTTCAATTCCTCTTCCGGCTCTTAGGGAGGCGCCAAAAGTACAACAGATTGATGGGGATTGGAAGTAAGTTCATTTTGACATTTAACGCTGCGTTATATGAATAACACTATGATTTCATCAATGAGGTTTAGTTGGGATTCTGTTTAAACTTTTATTCTTGTTTGGTTTAAGTAAGAGACAGATGTGAAAAATAACCAAAGCTACTCGATTCAATTGTCAAACGTGCTTTTGATATCTGTGAACGTAAAGGATCAAGTTTGAGCATATTTTTCGTTCGGTGATAAAAGAGCTTGGTTTGAGTTGGACTCAAATAGTAAAAACAGCTAATATTGCTTGATTCCCTTTTTTGGCTCCGATTAAATAACGTTCGGGCTCCAATCCGTTAATAATCAAACCACGGTCAAATATATTTTTAAATCTCGATAGAAAATTAGATTATCTTGAACAGTAATATGTTGAGGCCGACTTGATACATTTAAACCACTATCAATAGCAATTTTGATAGCTCGAACCATCTAGCCTTCTTCATCCCTTTTTCACATGAAATACTAATAGTAATAGGTAAATTTATTATCTTCGGAAGAAACTGCAGCTTGAGGTTAAATATGAAAATCTGAATCACAAATGAAATCCTGAATACTTCGCAATGAAACTAAAAAGAGTGAGCTGAAACAAGCTTGAAACTCTAAAGAAATTTGCCTTGTAATTAATTGGGTGTCGTTTGAATTAAGTTTTACCGTAAGGAGGAATCTTGGTATGTTTCTAAAAAGTTCGTTACATAGTACTTTATATTTTGCCTTTCACTTTGTTTTCAATTGAACTTGCAAATAAGCATTTACAATGTTTATAACTGCAGATATGATCCCAGAAAGTCAATCTTGGAGTGGTCAATTGTACTCATTGATAACTCAAACCGCAGGTTGAATTCTCACTCAAGTTATTCTACTCTACCTTTATACCGACTGATTTCACAGTTGTCTAATTTGGTTTTTGATTGGGTATTGGAATCTTTTCAGTGGATCTATGGAATTCGTTATTCCTGCAGTGGATACATCCGATCTTTTCCCGATTTCTGTGCGTTTTACTTCTACAAGCACTTTCAGTGATCTAAAGGTTCTTTTCTGTCCTCCCTTTCACTCCCTATATGTTCTCATTGTTACTTTTTGTCATGTAAACAATTCTGCGGAGGAATAATAAAAACCCGACAACAAACTTTTGCTGAGCATTCTACTAAGTTATTTTTATTTCTTTTAATTACCATGCATCTCCACGAGAAATTCCGACGAGTCGTTAATCGAAGTATCTCAACGTTTGCAGGTTGTTAATATTTTGCCCCTGAAAGGTGGTAATCCCCCCAAGTATGCCCAGAGAACACTGCTATCAGCTGAAAATTACCAAGTTGTCTGATTATTGTTCTGGGAATTGGAATTTCTTCCATTTCGGCTTACCCTTTTTATTTGATGACCCCCGAAAAAGTTATTACAGGTTTTGTGATTATGTTATACAATGATTTTGTAATTGTTCTTTTTTTGTTCTTTTCCGAAGTCGAGCAGAATATCGGAGTTCTTTTGTTAGAGATGTTTCAAATTATGTCATGATATTTTACATATTGCTTGTGTGAGATAGGCCAATTATATGCCAATGAGCCCTCACTATTCGAAAATCTACTCTTTAAGGTGATTTGCTGTATATTTTATATAATTGCAAATACCATTTTAAGGCAAATTACGGCAAACACCGTGAGGTAATGTCAAATTATGAAGAAAAAAAATCTTTATTGTTTCGGTAATTACAATAATCCCCACATCTCTATATTGTCGTATGAAAGAACCCTTCTTTCAATAGGTAAATTTGCAATGTAAGGATGAACGAACGTATAAGAAAATACATAGTTGAATGCTGGTGCCTGGTTATAATTACCCAAACATAAGAGGTTTTTCGTAATTTGACCTTTTCTTTGGGGTGGTCGTAATTTGCCCTAATTTTTAATTGTTTGAAAACCAAAATCTTATGTTTGCAACTATATGATACTTGGATAATCCACCTTATCAAGATCTTTTTGGCTTTTCATTTTCCAATTAATCATTAAAAAAACATCCAAAAGGTGAAAATTTTGAATATAAGGACAATTGTTTTTCCTCTCATAAAGGAACCAAATGACAAGAGTCATGTGAAGCAAAAAGCTGAACAATACAACATGGCCATTTATTAAATCATCAAAAAAAAAAAAAAAACATGGCCATTTATTGTGATACAAAATATATTTACAAAAAAAGCCCCTTCACTTTTCTAGAATTACATCAACACCTTAAAATTTGTACATTTATTACATTAATTAATACCATTTGTAGAGGGTGAGAGTAATCAATTTTGACAAATTATAGGAGACTGGATGTAATTTCTTAAAAATAAGGTTTTTTTTTGTAATTACACTTTATTTCGAGAAGATGGTTGTAACATAAAAACAACAATAAACAATGTTAAAATATATGCCCTCAAAATCTATATATGTGGCTCTATGATTTCCCTTTCCCTGGGTAGGTTGCATTGATTGTTTTTTTCCCTTTTCGATACATATAATACCTCAAAAAGATATCTGCATCGCGTAAGGGATGAACTAGCCGTTGTATTAAGTGATTTTTTGTCAATTAACCTAAGTTAGAACACAATTGTTAACGATTGGAGATCGAATTTATCACATACGGTTAGTCTAGTGTGATTTATGTCTCTCGTATGATTTGCAAGTTATTATACGTGAACGTGAGTGTAGGTTGGCCACAATTTCTTCATTAAAAAAAGAAAAAAAAATATTTGCAATTCCAAAATCTAAATATTTATTTAATAATTATACAAAATCTTGAAAAAAAAAAATATATTTAAAAATGTTGTTCAACGTATTGTGCGAGTCAGATTAGCGTAACAAACAAGTCAACGATTGTTATTCCTCATAGTATCTTTATCCCAACAATTACGGGAAAACAGATTCCGTACCGTTTTTTTTCGCCCCCCTATAAATACCGCTTATGCCTCCTCTAATACCAGAGTTTTTCAAAACCTCTCATCTTCTCTCTCTTCAAATTTTTTTTTTTGTTTTGAATTTTCTCTCTCTAGAACTGCTTTTGTTTGTTCCCATTGTTTTCTTCAACAATTTCTTTTCCTTTTATGGAAATCAAATTCGAGATTGTTTGATCTCTCTCTTAATAATAATAATGTCTACACATGTTGCTCCAATTTCCACCGCCACCGTCTCCTCCGGTTCGGCGCCGAGTTCCGCCCCCGGTTCGCCCAAAAGCCGCGTCAAATTTCTGTGCAGTCACGGCGGCAAAATCCTCCCCCGCCCCGCCGACGGCCACCTCAAGTACGTCGGCGGCGAAACACGTGTCATTTCTGTGCCTAGGGATATTCCTTTCCAGGGTAACGCATTTATTTTCCTCCATTCCTTTTAATTTCTGTATTTTGTGTGGCCTCTGTTAAATATTGGAAAAATTGCTTGCTTTAACATTTTGGGGATGAAACAAAAATAATTTGTACAGGCTGTGGTGTTGTAGACCTAAATTTTTGAATTTTTTTGTTTGTTTGTGGCATTAACTGTACATTGATAAGGATTTACAAAATAATTTTTTTTTTTCTGTATTATATATAATTTCATTACAGAATGTGAAATTACGAAAAAGAGGCTTACAGAATGTGAAATTACGAAAAAGAGGCTCTAAATTGTTTAAATCATGTTCTCATAGAGTAATTTGGACTTGAATGTATATTGTTTTAAGGAATAACGAGTCCCTTTCTCGATTTTATCGGGTGTCGTTATGTTCATTTCCTATTTATTTCTCTGTTGGAGAGTGTTCAATTGGTGCAGTTGTTGTTGTTGTTAATGGTGGTTTATTCCATGCTTCGTTTGCTGAATTTCACCGTATGTCTAATCTGCTTACCCGTGTATTTTCATGGTTTTCACTTCCAAATTATTTTTTCAATGTCCTCTCTCTTTCCATTTCAATGCTTATTGAAAAGATACACTTATAACCGAATTAGACATCTGGTGAAATTTAATAGGTGTAGTAGCATGGAACAAAATGTGTTGGGAGATGCTCGATGATCACTTATGCAGATAACAAGAGTAGAAAAAACACACACACTAAGTGTGCATTTGGAAGGAAGGATTTGAGGGAAGGATTTCAAATCCATAATAACGAATCCATAGATGTTGTTTGGATGGACTTATTGGTCGAGGAATTTCAAATCCATACCTCCCATTTTTAGTTGTTTTTTGAGCAATTGTGGAGATTTCAAATCCCTTCCCATTTGGACTAATTTTAAATCCCTCAATCCAAACGCAACCTAAGAACCTTTCAACTACTCTGCTGTAAACCCTCTTTGCTGAAATCGCGTTCTTGAATATTTATCTTTTTACAGAACTGATGAAGAAGCTCACCTACATGATCGAAGGAGAAACAACACTCAAGTACCAGGTCATCACCGAAGACCTCGACGCACTAGTCTCCGTAAAATCCGACGAAGACCTCCGCCACATGTTCGATGAAATCGAGCGGTACGAACTCGCCGGAGCGCCGCGCCTTCGCGCCTTCCTCTTCCCCGTGGGCCCCATAGTGATGGAGACTCAAAACATCACCGTGGACCATTACGCCCTCGAGCAACGCTACATAGACGCAATCAACGGCATAATCCGCCTAAACGCCGTCCTTAAGCAGCACCCTAACATAAACGCAGTTCAAAACGGCTCTTTAGTCTCCTCAGGCTGCTCTTCTCCAAGATCTCCCGATAGCTGCACCACCGAAGCTATAAACAATGAAGCAACAGTGTATAGTAATAGCCGTACGAATATGCATAAGGTACAAAGTTCGCCAAACATATGCAGCCTTAATAATAATAATAATAATAATAATAATAATAATGTCGCACAACATTATATGCAACAACAACAACAGCATCAGCAAGTTGCTTCGACACCTCATTATATGAATCACTGTAATGGATATCAGTTGCCACTGAATAAGCCGCCTATTGATCTGAGAAATGGTGGTGGTGTGGTTGGACCCGATAGGTTGATGTCCGTTAGGTCTGTCGGGCGGGCGGATGGGGGGAGATACCAAATGGATCTGCCACCTCAGCAGCAGTATTACTATAATAATAACAATTACACGAGGCAGCAGAATCGAGGAAACGGGTGTTGTAATAAATGCATGCACTATGAGGATTTGGGTCATTATCCGGAGAGGAGGATGACGGGGAGATTGAGCCCAGCTTCTTCTTCGAGTCCACGTCTTAGTTACAGTGGGATGAAGGTGTGGGATAATACTTATGTTGGGGATGTTTGAATAAAGAGAATATCAAGTGGGAGTTTGGATGATAATATTTTTTTCCCCGATGCGGGGGAATGATGATGACGACATTCTTGAGGTGTTCGACGGCTGGATTTGAATCATCGAATGGCCGATTTTTTGCACCTTCATGGATTCTCTTACAAATTATGTTTTTGTTGATCAAATGCTTTTGGTCCAATCCCCACCCTCAATTTTAAAATGTTCCCATGGCAGCATATTTGGAGAGACTATGATTTCATTTTTATTTTTATTTTTTGAATTATTTATGTAAATAGATTTGTGTGCGTGAGATATCGAATTGTGAACAGTTTGTAAATTCTTGTGTTCTTGGATTTATTCCATTTTACACTCGACTGTATATTTGTACATATTTAGTGCTTTTTTTTTTTTTTTTAAATTTTAAATCTTGTAGATGAGGAATCAAATGCTAGTTAAGATTAGTGTTATCATCATTTGTGAATTTTTTTATACATGTTAATCTAATTTTCCAAAATAGGCTGAAATTTCACCCGCTAAAAGTCTTTCGGGCAGATTAGCTAGAGAGTCTAGACAAAAAATAATAATTTTAAACTGAAAATACTTTATTATCATTCAATTCATCTGTCCTCAAAACCACACCTGCGTCTAATTTTCGCCACAACTTCATTGGAAGAAGGCTATTTTCACTTAAAATGTGCATTTACAGTTGAAATTCTCCAACTAAGTTGTCCAGTCTAAATTGTCTATTTTCAACCTAAATTGTCCAAGTACGGTAGCCCAAAGGACCTTTAGCAAATGCAATATATTCGAAGTCCGAACATATTGTTACCTATATAAAATATGTTTTTAGCCAATTTTCCCTTTGTTTATAGCACTTCACATGTTGCATCATTGGGTTTGGATGTGCGTCTGATTTCCCAAAATTGGCTGCAATTTGAACCAACAAGGGAGACAGACTACATGTAATTTACCCTTCTTGAAAAGCACACAAATTCCGGGGTTTATTTGATGTTGCACCAGATAAAATACACCGATCTAACATAATCGCATACACACCCATGTGTATATATGCTTAGTTAAAAGTTAACCCACCACATCAACAGTTAAAAATCACCGATTTATTTCACCTTCACCGTGTGTAGAATCTCAATAACCCAAATTCCAGCAACCATTTCAAAAGTGTAGGTAGCTTTTCTATAACAAGTGCTGCAAATAATAAAATCTTGAAGCCAACAATAATCTAAGTCTTTTTTGCTTTATAACAACCACACCACCACCTATGACACTTCTAATACCTTTTATGACGTAAATAATTCTTTCTTCAAAACAATCAATCTGGACAAAAAACATTCCTTATGCACATGTGAAGAAAGAAATATATGTCATCAAAAAATATAGCTACCAACCAATTTCAAGCATCGAATTCCCCATGCTTCTCACTCCTCATTTGCTGTCGGTGAAATCAGCATCAATAACATCACCGTCAGGTCCCTTGCCCGACGATTCTCCGGCAGCGGCACCACCAGGTGTGGGTCCCTCGCTGGGAGCGGCACCACCAGGTTGATTGTACAATGACTGGCCGAGCTGCATTACTTCCTGATTAAGAGCAGCCATAGCGTCCTTAATCGCTTGGGTGGACCCACCTGAGATTGCTTCCTTGAGTTCTCCTAACTTAGCCTCGACTTTTTCTTTTACGGGGACTGGAACTTTTTCTCCGAGCTCCTTCAACTGTTTCTCTGTCTGGTAAACTACTGAATCAGCCTGGTTTTTGGTATCTATTGCGTCTCTCTTCTCTTTGTCTTCCTTTGCGAATTTTTCAGCTTCGCTCACCATTTTTTCTACCTGAAGTTTTCGTTCACGAAAAAAAAAAAAAAAAAAAACTTAAATTCAGCACCGAAAACACTGTCTATGATTGAATAATGGAGAAACATCCTAATTAATAGGAAAAGGGTCATATGGCAATCCCGAGTGGATCCTCAAAACTATTGAAATGCAATTCAGATGCTACAGAAAATTATAGAAATATTCTAATTAAGGCGGTGATTGCAATAAGCTTTTGAGTCTGAAAAACTGATAAGGAGCTTTTTTTTGGCTTATGATTAGTTTTTTAATGTTTGCAATGCTAACTTTTGCTTCTGGTTTTCTAAGAGTAAGCAGTTTAAAATGTAAACAACAATCTGAGAAGCGCCCTTGGAGCTGCTTATCCAATATAAAAGCACTTTTGTAGCTAGCAAAGAAAGAAGGCGTTTGACTTTTTCACCCTTATAATTCCATATCAAAATTCCAATTATCATCAAAATACGATACAGATAAAATTTATATGCAAATAATATAACTTCTCTGTTGGTTACTTAAAGTTGATCTTTTAGAAATAAATACTTGTGCTAAATTTAACTCATAATCACTAACTTCTACTTGTGTAAAACCTTTTGTATACACCACCCAAGACAAAGTTCCTTATAAAAAACACGGTAAAAGAAGAGGAAAAATGCAGTTGTGAGGCATGAAATTCAATTAAGGCATCAATTTTAAATAAAAAATAAAATTTACCTCGTCACTAGGCAATGTACTTGCACCAGTAATGGTGATATCTTGCTTCTTCCCAGTTCCCTTATCAATGGCAGCGACAGAAAGGATGCCATTGGCATCAATGTCGAATTTGACTTCAATTTGAGGAACTCCACGTGGGGCCGGTGGAATCCCATCAAGTCGGAAGCTACCTAAAGACTTGTTGTCTCTGACAAACTCTCTCTCACCTTGAAGCACATTGATCTCAACACTTGTCTGACCATCAGCAGCTGTTGAGAACACCTCCGATTTCGAGGTGGGCAGTGTCGTATTTCTCAGAATAATCTTTGTCATTACTCCACCAAGAGTTTCCAGCCCCAGAGACAGTGGTGTTACATCTAGAAGGACAATGTCACTAACATCTCCAGCCAAAACACCAGCCTAAGTAAAATGAAACCAAAGCAGCTGTTTAAATAAATAACGTAACTTAAAAAGTGTTGAAGACAGCAAACAGAGGAAAAGAGGAACAAACCTGAACTGCAGCTCCAAGGGCAACAACTTCATCGGGATTAACAGTGACATTTGGGTCCTTTCCGGTCAATTTTTTAACGAGTTCTTGAACAGATGGAATACGGGTTGAGCCACCTACAAGGATTACCTCGTCTAGATCACTGAACGAGAGCTTTGCATCCCTCAATGAATTCTGAACGGGAGTTTTGAGTCTGAGAGACAGACATGATTTCCTTCCATATAAGTTCAAAGAAAGAGAGTAGGAGGTACTTCAGAATTCAAATGAATACAAGATGCTGTAAAATCACCTGTCAAGTAAATCTGAGCACAACTCCTCAAACTTAGCTCGTGTAAGAGTGGTTTCAATATGTTTGGGACCATCTGCAGTAGCAGTAATGAAAGGCAAACTGTCCAAGAAAAAAATAAAAAATTAAAACGGTCATCAAGACTGCACATATGAGGCTCCTAATCGACTTGCAATATTTGAAACATGCCTTAGATTAGTCTGTGTCAGAGATGATAGCTCCATTTTAGCTTTCTCAGCTGTCTCGGTCAGGCGCTGAAGTGCTTGCTTGTCCTTCAATAGATCTATTCCCTCATCTTTCTTGAAACTTGCAGCAAGCCAATCAACAATTCTCTGAATAAACCACAAAACAAAGGATCAACAATCTCATTCACGAATTGCTTGGTAAATCCAGAGAAGGGAAAGAGGGTAGATGGATAAAGAGAGAGTTGTTTTATAACTCAGCAAGAAGGATGAACCTTATCAAAGTCATCACCACCAAGATGTGTATCTCCAGATGTAGAAAGCACCTCAAACACGCCATCACCAACCTCGAGAACTAAAACCAGAGAAAGAAAATAAATTATAAATCTTCAGACAGAATCTGTAAGTATTCATCACTAAATACCAAAATGTATCAGCACATAGAAGTGATAATCATAGTCTACAGTTGTAACTTGTAACAGATAGACCAATTTACAACGGTCCCGACTAGAAATTTCTATCCATCTAAGCAGAGGAAATTGTCTCACATGGGTAAAAGAGGTTCCAACAATCAGATATACTGGAGGAGGCATACGTACCATATAAACAAAAAAACAATAAGGCCCACTTCAAGCAAAAACCAAACCAGGACAAAGTACAATCAGTGTGGATTAACAAGAATATTCCATACCTGAAACATCAAAAGTACCACCTCCAAGGTCAAAAACCAGAATCGTTTCATTGCTTTTCCTTTCAAAACCATAAGCAAGTGATGCAGCTGTTGGCTCGTTTATGATACGGAGAACTTCTAGGCCAGCAATACGACCAGCATCCTTGGTTGCAGTTCTCTGAGAATCATTGAAGTACGCAGGCACAGTAACGACTGCTTTAGTAACCTTGTCATTCAAAAACTTAGACGCATCATCCACAAGCTTCCTCAAAACCTACAAAATCCAGCAAGAAATGGAAACACTTAGACGCTACCATTAGTCCAATCAAGCGCTTGAAATAAAATCATACCATACCTACTCATTTTATTATTTTATTTTAATGGTGTTTAACAAATATACCATACACCATGATACCAACATATATTTACATAAGCTGGTATAAACCTCAATTCAATTACATCAAATTCTTTATATGCACGCAAACTCTTGGCAACAACCAAAAGAAATACCATCCCAATTTAATCCAATAAATTTCAAGAACAAAAAACAGTTCTCCACATCAAATGAAATGCAAATTACCAAAATTCAAACTATTTATATACCTGAGCAGAGATTTCCTCTGCTGCAAATTGCTTCCCAATGGCAGGACACTCAAGCTTGACATTCCCATTCTCATCCCTCACAACATTATACGAAACCTGCTTCGACTCGTTGTCAATTTCCGACATCTTCCTCCCAATGAACCTCTTCACGGAAAAGAACGTATTCTCAGGGTTCACCACCGCCTGGCGCTTCGCAATCTGCCCCACCAATCTATCCCCATTCTTAGTGTAAGCCACCACAGACGGCGTCGTCCTCTGCCCCTCAGCATTCGTGACGATGGTCGGCTTTCCTCCCTCCATCGCCGCCACAGCAGAATTCGTCGTACCAAGGTCAATTCCGACAACTTTCTCAGCAACCACACGGAGCGGAGTGCTGCGTCGGGAGCTGCCGCCGCCGCTGCTTCTGACCTTGTTCTTCAGATTCAGGCCGAAAGAAACGGCGTTGTTCAGCTTAGTCCCGAAGAAGACGGTCTTCGCGGGATTGTTCCTGGCGGGGTTCCCGGATGTGAAGTGGGCGGTGGCACCGAGGGCGTGAATTTGAGCAGCTGAAGACGCCATTTATGGTGGGAGTATACTGAAAATGGCGGAGGAAAAGCAATTGAGTAAGGATCAACTCAAACCCTAGAAATTGGGGGAAATTGAGAGTGAGGGTTTGAGGAGAGACGGAGAAGAAGATAAGGGGGGTGGAGGGTTTAATGGCTACTCTGTGTGTTAGGTGAGTACACGTCACACTTCTAGAAACATCTATTTCGGTCCGGCCGGCAGATTTCTATTTCATTAAATAATAGGGTAAATTACACCTACACCCGTGTGGTATACTTAAATAACTTTAAGGTCCCTGTGGTATCGATAATTACATTCACCCCCTTGAAACGTAGTTACAAACTCTAATGGTATAATGCATTGGATACGTTATTACGATAGAGTTCTAACGGACTATTGGTTTCAGGAAGTGGTGAAGACAACAAAGAGTTATGGGTGATTTAAGAAATATTGGGGGAACCATGTCACCCCATAACTCCCCATAAATCTATGTTATCTCCACAACTAGCTAAAAGTAATAGTCCATTAGAACCCTATCGGGATAATGTATCCAAGTTAGAGTTTTTAACTACCTTTCAAGGGGGTGAGTGTAATTATCGATACCACAGGGACCTTAAAGTTATTTAAGCATACCTCAGGGGTGTGGGTGTAATTTACCCTAAATAATATTAATAATAATAATATTTTCTTTTTCTTTTTTTTTTTTTGAATATTTTTTTTAGAATTTTGTTACAAATGAGAAGCAAGGGAAATGACATAATTTGAATTTTGAACAACTGAAAATGCTATTTGCATGCGCGAGTTTGACTAGCCTGCGGTGCGAT